CTGAATATAAATAATTTACATTGTGGAGGGCAACAGCATCTCTGAATAATCTCCCGTGGCAAAATCCATCTTTGCTTTCCTTCTCACAGTGAGCAGGCAGGAATGTGGGGACAGCCTACTGCTGTCTCATTTTGCATTTCTGATTGCTGAAACAGCAAATCATATCGCAGACTTGAAACCTGCTTGTAAAAATGCAGTTTGATGAGAAAGCAGGAAATGCTTTTTGTAATACAAAAATTTGCTGCTAAGGTAAGGGTCAGCAACTTTAAAGAAGAATATGCTGTTTTTTGGAAATTATCTTGCAACTTAAGAATGGCTTTTGTGTAACCAAGTGAGGACCGTCAGCAAAGAGAAAATGGTTCTTTACCATCACGACCAAACATTTCTGGAAGTCTTTCACCATTCACAGAATAATTGGCTAGCAGTACAACATGTGGAGGTAAAGTGTGGGTGCTTTAACTGAGCTGTACTGTAAGGACAGCAGTGGCGGTGCTCTTAAGGGTTGACAGTGCCATCCTCCTCCTATGTGTGCTCAGCCGTGGAGCACTGCTGGACTGGGCAGAAGGGAAAAGGAGCAGAAGTGAATGCAGACTGGCTGATGGAAGTAGATGGAGCTGCTTACACTGCTCTGTTCAAAAGCAAACACACAGGAAAACCCAACAACGCAAATTTGATCATTTCAGTATGAATAAATTCAGTTCTACTCTTTCTTTCCAAGTCAAGGTGGGATTATTACTGAAGTGACAAGCATTATAATTGTGTGGGAAATAAGGCATGATCACATCTCTCCATGCATCTGACTATGGCCATCCAGAAGCAGAGGGCAGCACGGGTTTGTGAGCAGGGCTGTGTGAGTACCTACTTCTCTGAGGAGAAGTAACGAAATGATGCTTGTTACTGGAAACACCTTTGCATTTTGCCCTGCACTTTGCCCTGCCAAATGATGTGTTTTCTGCACCAAAAACCAGTCACTAACCACAGTGGCAGTGCAGCTTTAAAGTGCGTAGGAAACCTGTGCAAAATGTCAGAGGCCCTGTGCTAGCACTGCATCTTTAATTCGGAGGCGCTCCCCTGACGGCAGCCGGGCTGTCAAACACATCCCAGTGTGGCTTAAACCATTCCTGGGAGCTGCACTTTGATGAGCCCCTTGCTCTCAGTGAAACCAGTGAGAATGCTCATACAGAACCAGTTTGTTGCCTGCTGTCAACTCAGTCTGATTCTGCTCACATTCTCCTAGTTTTCATAAGGGATTAATTGATTACTTTACGTTGAAGTACATGCAATTCATCCCTAGGCCATTTGCAATTGTTTGCTGCACACGTTTAAGACAAGCTGGAGGCCACAGCTCCCCAGTGCTCATTGACTGCAGCAGTCCCACCCCAGAGGTAGTTCTGAACCACTCCCTTTTGCTACTTCTTTTGCTAAATGAAGCAGCGTGGAGCTCATGTCTCTTCAAACACAAAGCAAACCTTCCAGAAAGATACTATGAAACCGTTACGGAAGAGACAATTCCACTCTCAGGATAACAAATGGCAATTAAATCTTTTCCAAATACATCTTTAAAAGATTGACGAGGAATTCTTGTTGCATTGCAGAATTTTGCCAAAGAAAATGCAGTTCTACTTGTAGAATGAAGAGACAGGGGTAATTAGCTTGCAGTGAAGAAGAAAACAAAAGCAATTCCATAATTAAAAAACAACAGAAAGTACCTGACATCTCACTTCTTCTCTTTTAATGCAAAATACCCATTCCATCAGCTGTTCAAGAGCACCAGCATGTGAGAAACAATCTGGTAAAAGCATAATCACCCCAAACCGGGGCACCTGGCCAGGCTCAGCAAGGACAATCTTGAACTGTGAACGATGCCACGAGATAGACTACATACTAGAGCCAATTTTTCTTTTAATTAATTGATTTAAATGCCAGTCAGCTGTGAGAATAATAGAATTGGGGAATAAATAGAATTTGACAAATGCCTTCATGTGAATCTCTTGCAGCTAGGTCTTCCTACATTTCCTTTCATCCTAAACAAATGCCATCGAGAACACTTAGCATCATTTATGGCATATAAAAAGACTCACATTGGCCTGTGGTTGAACTTCAACAGCAACTGTCCTATTCAGTTGGGGTGATGGAGTGGTGTCCATCCTGGTCTTGGTAGTTTCCATCAAAAGTCCAGAGAGGCACAGTGATTACATAGGAACTACCACACCCCATAAAAACAATGTAAGGTACATTCCTCTGGAGGAGAATGGTCACGTGGTAATGAACTTCGAGCCATACACCTCAAAACTGTGCAGCTCCTGCAAAATCACACAGTCTTTGTGTCACTAACATGACTGAATGGTAACTGCCTGCACTAAAGCTATCCTATGAGTACAATTGCTTTTTGGTCACCTTTGTAAACAGAAAAGGGGAATATGAAACTTACTGCCTGTTCAAAAATCGATTTACAACATAAAAAATAAATACAAAAAAGCCAACACTTCCAACATGTTCTGTTGTGAATGCTCAAGATCACATTTACCTTAATATAACACCGGTGAAATTTATAGTCAAACCAAACAGAAGGAATAAATATACCCATGCAACCTTACAGGCTCCCTGCAGCTTTGACAAACAGCCCAAAGTGCTGGAGCCTTCCCAGCAAAGGAAACCAATGCAAGTAACAAATGAGTGAGGAGTAAGAATGGCACTTCTACATTCCTCTGTACAGAAGACCACATAATACAACATGCAGCTGCTGATTCAGTCCTCCTGACATAATCATCCGTAACCCCTGGAGCCACTCAGCATTATGGATATCCTTGCGCTCCCTTATGGCACCCTATTTGGGATCTACAGCATCAAGGAGACCAGCACGGCCCAAGAGTCCAACCAGACAAAAATCAGGGTCACATTTTGCTCGGTCAGAGTCAAGGACCAGTGGTTGTTGCTAATGCAACTGCAATCACTGCTGTTTGGAAGAAAAGCAGGCTTGCTTTGAAGTGAAATAAATATTCCATCAAATATTTGCACTAAACACAAAAAAAAAATGAAGCACCACCACCCACATTTAGTGTCCTAAAGATAAGCCCCATCTGAATTAGGTGGTGATACCCCATTTGAAACAGAACCATTTTAGTTGGCTTTGTGGGAAAACACCAGACCCTGGGTTACAAGAATGAGACATTACCAGCTAACTACAGACAGCCCAATTCTGTTTTATGCTAAAGGTTCTTTTCTTTCCTGAAAAAAAAAGGACTTGGCAAAAATGGGGCCTCGGCAGTCCAGCTTTGAATAAACTTTCAGCTACCTCTTTGGGCCTCCTATTCTTCAATATGAGTATTATGAGTATTGAATATGAGCCAGCAGTATGACCAGGTGGCCAAGAAGGCCAATGGCATCCTGGCTTGTATCAGGAATGGAGTGGTGAGTAGGACTAGGGAAGTAATCCTGCCCTGTACTCAGCACTGGTGAGGCCTCACCTCGAGTACTGTGTTCAGTTTGGGGCACCTCAGTACAGAAAGGACATGGAGGTGCTGGAGCAGGTCCAAAGAACAGCAACAAGGCTTGTGAAGGGCTTGGAGAACATGTTCTACAAGGAGAGACCGAAGGAACTGGGGCTGTTTAGTCTGGGGAACAGGAGGCTGAGGGGAGACATTATTGCTCTCTTCCAATATCTGAGAGTGGGGTTGGTCTCTTCTCACTGGTGACAGGTGACAGGACGAGGGGAAATGGCCTTAAGTTGCACCAGGGAAGATTTAGTTTGGATATCAGGAAAAACTCCTTTACAGAAAGGGTTGTTAAGCACTGGAATAGGCTCCCCCAGGAGGTGGTTGAGTCACCATCCCTGGATGCGTTTAAAAACCACTTGGACGTGGTGCTCAGAGACATCATTTAGCCATGGGTTGTTAGAGTTAGGGTAGTATGGTTAGGCTGTGGTTGGACTTGGTGATCTTTAAGGTCTTTTCCAACCTGAGCAATTCGATGATTCTATGATTCAAGATGAAGTGTCTTCCTTTCTGCCCTTCAGGAAAACAAAACAATTACCCAAAAAATCAGCAAAGAAACAAACAAAAACAAAACAGGGAACCTGCCCCTGCCACATCTCACACAACAGGGACACTGGGAATGAAGCTATCAGAGGTCCCAGGAGCGCTAGTGTGACGTAGAGATACCAAAGCTTTTGGAGCTTACACTCCCCTGCACGTCAGCTGGGTACAGGAGGATTGCTTACTGTTATTTGGAAATGTGATCTGGAATGGTATTTCCAAGAACTTAAAATAAAAGACATTTCTGTCAAAAAAAAAAATCACACCACAGAGCCATTAAATAAATAAGTTACCTAGTTCTTCCCTTTCCTTTAAAAGAAATGGGATCAAAATCTGTGAAAGCATACTGGGGTCTCAGCTTGTACACACACATGCTCTGTCCCTCACACGCACAGAAAAGTCCCCCTTCCTTGTGATGCTCACATCACATCTTCCTGGCATACAACTTTTCAATCTTGACACATTCACATTCTCCCTTCACCCACAACCACATGGGCTTAGACAAAAGGTGCATTCAAGTGCAAAGTACTGATATTATATTAGGCCCCAATGCTGCCAGCAACAGTAAGCAGACAGCGTGCCCACGATCCCCATGGATTCTGTGGGATGCCATGGGCTCAGTGCTGCTCCCGTGTGCTGACCATTACAACAGGGGGCTGTCACTCACAGAAACCAGTAAGCTGGTGGCTGAGCATGGGCCAAAGAAAAGGAGAGGGGGGAAGGGGGGGAGGAAAACAACACAGAAGACATTAAGAAGGTGCTAAACAAGGTACAAAACCACCCTGAGGTAACTTGCAGCATATGAGCAATGAAATGGCAACAAACAGGACTGCTGTCCCCACAGTACTCCAGTAGGAGTACTAAGTTACATTAAAATGTTGGCCAAGTTCAGCAGCAACAGACGCCATCATTAAACAAGATCTAAACAAATTCTTCTTTGAAATAGAAAGTCACGCATGAAAGAAATTTCAATTTTCTGGAACAGTATTTTTAATTTCTGGCCATGGAAACACATGGCGATTTTTGCCAGATCAAGTTAGCCTTAACTCAAGTGGATGCAACAAGCTTCAAACAGACAAAAGCTGCACAACAAATGCCTTTATCAATTAACACCAGATTAGCAGAGACCTGTCTTGTTATGAGGCTCCCAAAATATTTTACAAAGGAAAAAGAAAAACCTAAGCCACTTGAAGTTCACCTTTAGTCTCAGGTAAACACATTGTAAGTAAAATGAAACCTGTAGCACTTGTTTTCCTGTGTCCTGTTTGGATATTCCCACCTCTTTACATCTAAGTACTACTGAGAGTGGCAATCAGACATCAGGCTTGATTGTTGTAAAATCAACAATCAGTATTTGCACAGCTCTGAAGTTGCATTCTTACCGTTTATTTGCAAGTAAGCATTGCTATAGGCACTGGTGCTTTAAAGTTAGTAAGGTGGATAGAAAGGTGTGTATATAGATATAGAAGATACCCATATACATACATTTAGGCAAATAAACAGTGATGATACGACTGGTCTCTTCAGGGATGCCGGTAAGATCCACTTTCTTTTTCTTAAATACAGAAACAACTCATCAGACTAGAAGTCAGTCTGTCAGTCTTCATACAGCTGAACTACAGTCATGACCTAGAATATGGCTTATATTGTGGGCAGGTCGGTTTGAGGGCTGCTTGGAAGAATCGGAAGCAGACGTGTTTGCAATGGAAAGCAAAGGTGACATTGCTGAACCATCTGGAGGAAGAGCAGTGGCTATTTCCGGAAACAAAGATGTCAAGTTAAAATTGGATAAGTGTGACGTATTGGTCATGTGCATGGGTGGCATATCCGGAAGCAAAGGAAAACTTGGCTGGGCAAAACCAACAGGCCGGGGAGGAGACAAGATAGATCCAAATCGATTGTTCAAACCTCCACTGCTCGGCTTCTCTGTGCTCGGATTAGGAAACATTTGGTTGGGAAAGTAAGGGATAGAAATGTCATTGGAAAGAGTGGGGTGGGCAGGAGAGTAAGGCGGGTAGAAGGATGGCAGCGTATTTTGGGGATCGACGGGGATTAGGGCTGGTGTTCGAGTGGCACTAGGCTGAGTAACAGGGGGAATGAAGGACGTGTTGGCATTTATGGGCGGATTCATGCCACCCTCTGGGATAAAAGGGAATCCAAAGTTCTGAGAAAGTGTATGTTGGTCAGAGGCTGCGTTGTCATTGGACACTTGAGGGCCATCAGACATGAAGCGGACAATACTTCCTCTCTTTTCTATAGCAGACTGCTGGCGCCCAAGGATCATACTGCTGCTGGTAGACAGGGGCAGGTGGGGAAGACTAGGGTCAAAGACATTCCCGTGTCTTTGATTTCCGGATCGATTCCTTTCAGGCTGCCGTATTTTAGAGCCGTTGTTATCTTGTAGAGGATGCCTCGAGCGCTGAGTAACTGAAGAATTGGGCTGACGAACAGAAGGCTGCCCTTGTTCACCATTTCCATGAGAAACTGCAGGGTGAGGGTGAGTTGGCCTCACAACCCCGTGCATGTTGCTGGAGACAGGTGTATTCATGTGGCTCTTCGTTCCGTGACTGTCTGTCATCCTCATGGGATTGGACTTTTGTACAGAAATGTTTGGGCTTGTATTTCGACCCTGAATATCTCCCGAGGAAGATGAAGTTGAGAAGGGAATAGTTAAAGAGCTGTTCCTGGTGTTAATTGTACTGATGGACATGTCACAGCTTTCCCTGTTCTGAGTATCGCCATCTCTCCGGATGTGGACACTCTCCCGGGCTGGGGGACAGCTGTACTCAATCGTGGACGATGCACCACACTGTGTATTCCTTGGATGTTCTGGGATCGATCGCTGGCTTCCACTGACTTGATCGCCAAGGTTAGGGGCAAGTAAACTCTGCATAAAACTTTGGTGGCATGTATTTTCATTTTCCCTTGATGGAAGGGAATTTCCTGTTGGAATACCTTGTACTGGCTGGTAAGGCAATCTCTTCTGCCTTTCTACGGGTGGCCCAGTATTCTGACCAATTCGAAAAGCTTGTGATTGCATGCCCCGGAGGGACGACACAGAATTACCAATTTCACTGTTTCTTGAGGCCTGCACATCAAAATTGCCTGCAGGTTGTTGGTTGGGTCCTGCTGGCTTAAATGTCTGGCAATCAGAAAGCCGTTGTACATCTGAGCCAACTGTATGATCAATGGATATACGGCCCTGCATATTGTGAATAACCAACCCTTTATTTCTAGAAGCATCAATATAGCTCCTCATTTCAAGCTGGTCAGATACTCTAGGGCCTTGAAGAGAGATTCCTATTCTCTGCTCTGAATTAGAGGGTGTCTTCCCAATAAGTGCCTCAGCAGAGTAGCTGGAAACTCTGTTTCTCTCCTGCCTATGAGGGGTGCAGGTCATGTCTGACGGCCTGGTTACAATACTTGCCTGCGATACCATTTGCGGCTCTAAACCCCTGGAGGTCATCAGTCTCTGCATGGGATTGTGCCCTGATACATGCTCAGAAGCTGAACCTTGCTGCCTGCTGCTGACATCTTGCTGCTGTTGATGCATAATGTCCTGATTTATATGGCTCTGAGGGTGGTTATGATGGTTTCTGCTTGTTGCAGGATTTTCACAGTTCTTTTCAGGCTGGGAAGCTCCAAAGTGCTGCTGCATCTGCTGCTGCATTTGCTGGTGGTGAGGATGAGGCTGACCGCCTTTCTGCCGTGTCTGATCACTTCCATGGTGTTTCTGCTGTAAAGAAAGTTGCGGGGCTTGGGTTCCCTGGATGAGATTCCTTTTCTTTTGCATTTGCACTTCCTGCTGTATTGTTCGCTGCTGATGGACGCCGTGGGGTTGTGAGTGGACTGAGCTTTCCCCATGAGTGACATGGTGCTGCAGCTGATACAAGTGATGCCTTTCTCTTAATTGTCCAGCCTGCTGCTGCTTTAAGTAGGGATGATTATTGTGAAGGTGAGATATGCCTTGAGCGGGAACATGCTGAATTGGCTGCAAATGCTGCCCTCCTGTGCCTTGCTGCTCTGAAATTGATGGCTGGGAGTTACACTGAACTTCAGTTTGTCTCAAAGCCGGTGTTACAAAGTTGCTGTTTGATGGGAATAGCCTATTGAGGCCATCTGTGTGCCCCTGATTGCTCAAGGATGCCACCGAACTTGATGAATTAGAAGGCATCTGACTGACCAGCATCTGTGTTTGATCAGCAATACTCTCTGGTGTTCGATTCATCAGTGCCATCCCTTCAAGCCTTAGAGGTGCTGTCTGACACTGCTTTTGTCTCTTTGCTGTAGAAAGCAGAAGGTCATCCTGAACAGCCCGCTTGGCAGAGTCCTTGCGACCTTCGTGATTTTGCTGCTTTAATCGTGATTCCTGCAGCTGAGGAGCTTGCATGGAGTTTGCCCTAATAGCGTTCAGTTGTTCCTGAGCATACTCACTCATCATAGCTGGTCTTGGAGATGGGTTGACATATGAACCAGATGGAAGAGCGAGACCCACAGTTGCAGGAATGCTTGCTGGCTCTGAAGGCTGGGATAAACTTGAGCAACTCACGAGGGGATGGACGATGCGGCTCTGGTGTATCAGGTTATTCACACTTAAACTGGTTATGCTCGGTGACTGGGAAGCTGAAATCTGCAAAGAAGAGTTGGAGGTTTCCACACCTCCTACAGAACAGCTTGGTTTTTCAACTTGCCTACCAACATTTGTTTGTACTGTATCCTGGGCACTGAATTTGTTTGGCACTGTTTCTAATGGCCCTGCACTGCTTTCTTTCACTGGTAGAGTTTTAAAAGTCTGTTGCTCTCTCTCCAGAGTTGCAACCTCAGTTGACTTAGATACGGCATCCCTCATGTTAACTTGCATTCCTCCTCCACTTTTCTCAAGGCTTTCCTGGTCAAAAATAGCTCTCGCTGCAAGAGCAACTATGTCAGGTTGTTCTGAAAATGTGCAGTTGTTGCACGTACTGGTTGACGTGTTGCTAGTAACATCTTCTCTGGTGGTATCTGGTAACATCGATGCCACAGAGAAGCCCCGGCTGCTACCAGAACTGGTTGACATCGGGGAGTCTGCCTGTCTGCTGGCAATGAGGGCAGCACTAACTACTTCCTGATCAGAAACGCAGGTGTGGTGCTGTGAGAGTGCATCACCTTCTGTGTTCATTAACAAGAGTTCCTGCTTCTCAGGCAAATCAACATTTGATTCCACTGATTTAGAGTTTTCCATGGGAAAATTAGAATGCTCCCCTTGAACAGCAAAAGAAGAGCTTTTTTCCACAACTGTTCTTTCTTTTGTGAGATCAGACAGCATTTTGGTCAGACCTTGCCCTTCCAACAAGTCCACATCTTGCATGACAACTGAAGAACCCTGCGGAATGTTGCAGGATTCTGAAGTTGTTCCTGCAGTGGAAGTCTGACCTGCTGTGCTGCTCTCCACTGTTGATGCCCCAGAAACCTGAGAACTTGTCCCATGTGCTTCAGTTTCAGAGGGTGCCAGAGTGCCAGAGGGCTCACAGCGGGAGGAAGACTCTGATGAGGCTGAGCTGGTCAGTGGGTTGCTCTGAGACTGACGCACTGGCAGGAGAGGAGCAGCATCCCTGGCAGTTGGTGGGACCAGTGCCAACCGTTCGGACACCGCAAGCTGCAATGGCAAGGGGGCCGGCAGCTCTGCCAAAGTTGTCTCTGGTGCAGGGCAGGAGCCCACTGTTTGCTCTGAGCACTCAGCTTCTTTGGAAGGAGAAATACTTGCACCGGTCACCTGCAACGTGGCTAAAGCTTGTGACACTGCTGGAATGTTCTCAGGCAACTCCTCACCCTTTGAATGTTTTGCCACAGCTTCTACAGGAGCACCGTCTGTCTTACCTGCATCTTTACAAGGAACTGCTGCACAGGAAACTTTAACGTTGGTAGCTAGGTGTTTTTTTGTACTCTGCTTTTTGTTTGTCCTTTTTGATTTTGTATTAGACAGAAAACCAGCAGCAGCTTTTTTGGGGGAAACATTTGTTGAATTAGATGCACTAGTTAACACTGAACCGTCCAGAGGCACTGAGGGGGGCACTGAAGCTGGTAATGACACACAGTTAACTGTGGTAATCTGATTATGGACAGTTGTGGGATTGGTAGGGTGGCTGAGAGACAAGTGTAAGCAGCTTTGTCCAGCCATTTGTGATATGCTCTGATTGAGGTTAGCTAAAGCACCAAATGTATTCAGAGCAACATTGGTATTTGGATCTTCGCTAGTGGTGGGTTGAATAATTTGCATAGGGGCTTGATTTGAAGCTCCGGATGAAGACATGACAGGCTGCAATGCAAAAAGCTGCCCATTTAATGAGATTGTTTGGGGATGCTGTTGATTTGACATTGTAACTGAAAATGTTTGTGTAGAGCTAGAAGTTGGCAAAGATGATGGCCTTGGTAATATATGGACAAGGTGTTTTCCTCCAAAAGTCTGTGGAAGATGGGCATTTTGCACAGAGTTGTTGGAGTTTGCAACTGCCACAGGCCCATTCACAGGAACTCTCAGAGAAGCAGAAGGCTGGGCAGAGAGGAGAGGAAGAGGATTCTGACTAGCAGCTTGAATAATTACAATTTGTTGACTGACATTCTGGCTAGGAACTTCTGCTCTGACAATTGGAGGACACGGAGCAGTGTTTGGAGGCTGGAGAATGATGACATTCTGGTTCGCTGGTGCTCCTGTCACAGCTGACGCAACCGGCTGAGCCATCTGAATTACCTGCATAGTTGAATTTAATGGAAGGATACTTCCTGCAGCCTGAGTTTTAACCTGTGGTTGGCTGATTAATGGCTGCATAGGTAGGGATGGGCATGAGGGCAAGGTAACTACGATCTGTTCAGCTGCCTGCCCATCTATAGGCAGAGAAGTATTCAAACTAATGCTCGTTGTCAAAGGTCTGCTGTGAGCAGGAGATACGGTACTAGCCCCGTTAACTGGCTCACTTAGCAGCGCGGTCATTATACTGGATGGTGTTTGGCTTAGTGGCTGGACAGTATTTCCTGCTAGCTGCAAAGTTGTCCATGTGGTCTGTGTGTTTCCAGCTGAAGGCATCCGTGTAAGGCTACTCATATTTTTCAAGTCTGACGGGACAACACCTGTAGAGCCCGAAAAAGACCAGCAGTTCTCCAGGGGACTGGCAGGCAGAGTGCTTATTACAGTTACAGCCTTCATTCCTTCTGCTGCAGAAGTCACGGGCATATCAGCACTACTTATTAAGTTTGTACTTTTGAGAACATTTACAGAGGAAAAACTATCTGCAGCAGACAGTCTCACAGATGGCACAACAGCTGTGCCAGTAGTTGAAATTACAGAGCTTTCCTGAAATTCGTTCCTAGAATTAGGTGTTTTTGAGCTGGTTGCATTTACGTGTTGAACTTTCTCAGCTTCCATGGAGGCACTGGAAGGAAGGCTGATTCCCTGCACGACTGTTTTCTTTGTTGACTTTGAGCCACCTTCATCATTTTTACTTTTGGGGAGACTTTGACCATTCTGCAGTGCGTTACCTGAAGAACACTGTAGGCCCTGTTCTGTTCCGGATTGAGAAGGGTTCTGTGAGCTGGTAGCAGCCAGCACACCTTGCTCATTTTCTGTGATGGAAAGTTCAACAGCGTTCCCTGCTGGAACCACCTGAGTGGGTGCCAGTGGAGAAACTGTACTCTGAGACCGTGGTTTGTTTTCTGCAGGGTAAATACCAGAAATGGTCACAGGAGTCACTAGGTTGCAAGTTCTCTGGACTGGAACAACATTGGCTGTTTGCTTTTGTAAATTATGACCAACATTAAACGTTATTCCCTGGACAGATGCTCCCTGGTTATTTCCGCTGGGTTGACTCCCATTTGAATAGACGATAATGTTCTTTTGAACTTGATCACTAGGAATAACAACTGAAACCTTTGCATTTTTGAGATTCCCCTTCCAGTGGATCGTAGGATCATCATACAGGCAAATATCATTGGCTTTCAGTAGTTCGATGTATCTCCCATTTTCCTTTTGGAGTTCATCCAGTTGTTTCCGCAGTTTTTTTATCTCTTCAGCTAGAAAACAGTGAGAAGAATTCAGGACAACAGCATCAGTGCAAATACTAAGTAACCCTACCAAGTGGTTTGGAGAATAAGTTATATATAATACTGAAATAAGCTCTTAATGTGTGCTTTCTTGAACGTAACAACATAAATGAAGACTACCCCAATAAACCTTTCTACTGGGCAGGAAGGTAACAAACCCCACAAAGTACTCCACTGCCAATATTCAGATATGTCTTATTAATTAGTTAAAAACATATAAAATAAATCATGTGAAACCAAACAGTGATCAGCTTCTTTAATTAACGAATGAAAAGCAAATATCTTAATTGATCTTGATGAAATTGATAGCCTTGTGGTTTTCCAGTTTAATCGCATATAAAAATGACATGCAAAACTAAATAGAATGCCCATATGTAAAGCAACAAAACCCAGCAGTGGAATTGGAGAGAGTTCACCTAATAGAAAAATCACCTAGGATTATCAAAACCAATCACATCAACAACATGATGTATGTAATAGCATCCCAGTCTTTGTGGAGAAATAAAAATCACAAACTATAACATTAGCTCTGAGATTATTTCTGTCACATCTCCGCCACTGCATTTGTAAGCCTCTGTTAAAGTAGAATTTAAATGAGGCATCATATTTTTATAAGGTAGGGTGTTACTACTTTCAAAGTGTTTGAAAGGAAGGAGAAAAACAACTGCATGAGGAAAGATTCATCTTTCCAATGAAGAAAATCTAACCCTGAATTTTAACAGAATTTTTTCATCACATTACAGTAGAAAAAAAATCGTGATGGAATCTACTAGATGATCTCGCATTACCTGTGAGATTTTTCATTATGTTACATCACAAGATGATCGCTTCAAATCTCATAGCTAGAACATGTGCCTGGGCATTTTCTTCTTTTATTTTTTTTGAGGTTATTCTAAGATTTCTTTTTGTATGCATACGCCTTGGGATTCCTTAAGTCTGTTGATACAAGGAATCCCTGGCTTTGTTCTCAGTACTAACAAATACACAGCAGAAAGGACTGACAGAAATTCTAGAGCTTCCAGAGGACTCTGTACTTACCCTGTTCATTGTTCCCTCCATTTAACAGAAGCTCATCATTCTGTCTTTTCATTTCTGTTATGTACTTAAAGGCCTGATCCAGGATCATGTTCTTGCTCTTTAAAGGAAAAACAAACACATGAAATTAGAAAGAAATCTCACTATTACTGGATCTGTCATGATAGATCTTGCACTCGATCCAAGGGTCTTCATTTTTAAAAAGTGCTAAACAGAATGCTTTTCTGAACTTCTTTTGTTTTGTCTTTGCACCTCGCATGAGGACGCTGTCTTCCCTTACTATTAATATCTGACTTTCAGAATTGCTTTCATTTCACTATGCCAGTGATTACAGAAATAAACACACACGTTTAATGAGAACTTTGGAAAGTTGTGAAAGGACAAGCAGGCATCAGCAAGATGATCAGATGGCTATGGACAAATGAATCTGCTCAGAAACACTGCACACATGAATGAAGGAGAAAGTCAGTGAGCCACATGTCCAACTCGTACTGTTCATTACTTCAGCAGTCAGCTACAACACCTTCAGACACGAAGCTCAAAAATCTGTGCAAATATATTAGCATAGCTTTGTATTTCTAAAAAGAAATTCTCTCATAAATACTTTTTAAAATCCTACTAATAACTAGTAAAATTTCAAGCATGTTAATTCAGACACTTTTGTCTTCTTTGTGAGACAAATAGCAAAAGTAAGTATTTTTACTTCTACAGACAAGGAAACACAAACATTTTACAGGATGCACATCTGAATGAACACTTACCTGCTTAAGTGCTGGAGAGCAGGGAATGAGTTCTCCAATTCTGTTTATCCCAGCATTAATCTTTTTCTTTCGATGCCTCTCCACTGAGCAAAAATAACATGCACTATGTCATCTAGTCGGGCAAGTCAACACAACAAGACAACTACTACCAATGTAAGGGTTCATAAATACATTATTTCCTGAGTTACTGGAACCATGAATAATATGGTAGAATAAAAAATCTCCACTGAAGTAAACTTCAGTTACTGAATTAACACTCGGTGAAATTAACAGCTCTAACATAAGAAACAACTTTTAAAGGTAAGGATTTTCAGGATACCTTTATGGAAAAGCAGGGCTGTCGCAATTCAAAATTCAGGTTTTGATAATACTTTCTGGTTCTAGCGATACAGGCTATCAGTTACTCATTTTTATGTTGAAAGCTCTAACTGTTGTGGAAGATCCTATTATGACTGGAACAAAAAAAAGGAATTTTAATGAACAATACTGCCAGTGAATTACCTATTCTGAAGAAAGTCTGGTATCGAAATGTTTTGGCGTTCTGAATAAAGTTCTGTCATGGCTCTGTCAAGATTCATATCGATATGTCATTCATTATGAGTTCTGTTTTGTGCAGCAGGGCTGCTTTTGATACATATAGAAACACACAGCAACCCATAGACGAGTGTATGTTCTACAAGCAAAACCATGCTTTACTTCTACATTATGCTCCTTTAGAAAGGATATACTGATTTATTTTAAATAATTTTGTTTCAGTAGTCTCTCACTTCAATTTACATTTCTCAAACAAGTGAAGTAATTTTTGTATTTCAGGAGAGGAAGGAAGTGATCCCGGAGAGAGCAGTTACATTAAGTACTATTCTAACATAGCAAAATAAAGCCTCTTCTGCACAAAATTTATGAGGATAAAAACACACCAAAACCAACTAACCAACCCCAAACCCCAAGGCACTGTCTTCAGTCTCCATTTAGTTGGGAGCTAAGGCACATGGAGATCAGCAAGTCCAGCATGAGAACAACGCATACATCTCATTTGAAGTATTCCCCCAAGGCTCCCTCTGTGCTCTGGGGACTATGTAATTCACCAAGCCTAAGGCACAGGCAATGTGTGAACATTTTTAGACTCCTCCCCAGGTCTAGCATGACTTCAACAAAAGGTCATGTACATTTACAGCAAATGAAGACATAAAAACTAAGCAAAGCTGTTACTCTGAACTAAAGCTGCATTCCATATTATCATTTATAGGCAAGGAAGAAGTTTGTGTACAGCTTTTAAGGAAATCCTGCAGCCTATCTATCTTCTAAAACAATGTAACAGCTCTGAAGAGCCTGTAACTTCTACATAACTTTATCCAATTAAGTCAGTCACACAAGAGCAGCTGTACAAACATTAAAATACGTTATCTTTGGGATTTAATTTTTAAATATCTTACTGTTGCTAATACGTGCAGATACCACAGTGGTCATGAAGCACTGTTCCTTTATTTTGATAGTATCATCCACTCAGTTTGTCCAGACACTTGTGACTAAGCAAGCAATAGGGCTGGAGGGAGCTTGTCCCCACGTCTTGCAGAGATCAGCCCACTTGAGGAAGACTTTCAAAGCTATCAGCAAGTAAAACAGGAACCGAGAATGAGAATGAGCCATCTTAAAATTAACTTAAGATTCTTTCCCAATACTCCTTAGTCTTTAGGAAATTGGCCACATCCTGGTCATGTGGAAACTACTGGGTGTTTTTTTCCAGTTGAGGTCGCAGAGACCACACATTTGCGCTGTTTAATGAAGGGAGAACTAGACTCAAGAGTTTAGTACGTTGTATCTATGTAGATAAACAAGGCCAAAACCTTCAGACTCTACTGAAACCTGACAGTTCTGCTGATAGTTATCAAACGATGTTGAAAGTTGAATTCAGTGGAGAGAAAAGGCTGCATACTGCACAAGGGATGCAAGTCCCACAGCATACAGATGATACTCACACAGAATTGCTGGAGCAGGCCTAAGGGAGCGATCTGTGCATAGGTATTCTAAGCAGGACCACAGAGAGATGTTTGGTAGGATGTTGGGCTTTTTTCTGTTATAAACTATTATAGAGGGACTTTCTCCAGGCAAAATAAGTTATTGAAGAATCTGTGCTTATTTACAGAAGAATCAACAAAAAAAATATTCCTACCTGCATTGTGCGTCTCCCGATTTTTCTTTCTGTTAACGATAAAGGGGGAAACAGTGATGTGAAACAGAAGGAAAAAAAAACTGCATGCAAACAATTTCCTCTTATTTTATTATTTCAATTACAGCTAAAAATACTAAATGTTACACTCTGCTCTGAACAAGAATACAGCAGAAGTAATACTCACAAGGATTGGTATTAAACAGGCATTAAATAGTTTCTAACAGAAAAATCATTAGTGTTCAGACTCGAATTAATTTCAGCATAGCAAGACAGACAATAATAATCCATTTGGTTATTACTGCATATTTATTGGACAGAGCTGGATTTTGATTATTTTGTTCATCAAAAACTAGTATGCTATCCAATGCTAAATATTATAATCCAAAAACTAATTTTGACCAACAGGCTAGGCCAATAATTTGTCTGAAATGTTGCTTTTGCGTTCAAAGAATCATTGAAAAGGGAGAAAATACTACAGTGCAAACAGATTCTTTCAGATCTGTTCCCTTCAAAAATCAACCTTCTAGTATCAAACATGCTTCCTTTGTCAGAAACCAGAATTATCTTTCCTTTGCAACCATTCCACTGTACTGCCTCAAAATTCTGTCTAGATATAATGTGGGGATGTGAGGTTTCTCTTTGTTTTCACATGTTCCTCTGGGATTCCTGGACCAACGGCAATCAGATGAGAATCAATGTGCAATGCCTCAAATTGCTTTTGCTGGAAGTCAATAAATTCTAAACACGTACTTCATATAAATAAAACCAAGTGCCCTGTAGCTATGCAGTAAGCCAAATATTTCCAAGAAATACAATAAAACAACACACATTTTTTCTCAAAAAAAGATATTTCATTAAAAAAAAATAGATAAATATTTCAAAAGACTTCTGCCCACCAGTGCCCTTTCAGTCTGGTGGTTTGGCTACAGTATGCAAAAAACAGTAGTATTTTCTGCTTTCCACTCACTATTAAAGCACAGTCCAGATGTAACAAGAAACCTGGAGTGAGAATATAAGATATATGTGGATGACACGAGTGACTACTATTGGCCACACACCTTTTATACTTTGAGTCAATGTACATTTATTTCTGGTAACTCACCACCAACAGCATGCATCTAGAGTAACTTAGTGGTTACAAGACAGCGCTGTTGCCTGCACATCTCAGTTAACAGTAAACTACAGTTTTCTCAGAAGATGATCACCTTTGGTTACCATAAAAAATATCCTGCATGGCTTACTAGCATAAGTTGGATGCTGTAACTAAGGACTGAAGAACTACACTGCCAAATCAGGTGTTAGATCAATAAATTACTACGCAGGAACAAAAACTTGTAGAAGTTGTGATGAACCCTAAGCCACTTGGTTATAAACTTTGGTTATAGCATTGCAATTCAACCACGGGTTGTGTTTTGAATTTCAGCAGATTTGTGAAGATCTAGATTCCACTGTAACTGGTGAAAGACAACTATACCACTCCATCAAAATGAGTGCAGTTTCGCAAGGAGTTGCTGTAATAAATACAGCCTGCACTCTAACCTAAGTAGAGGTGCAGTCACATGCATCTGAGTAGTCCGTGTGATAAGAATCTCTTTTGCCTTTGTGGTCGAGGTAGATATACCCTTGACAAATAATTTAGCATGGATAGAGGAAGAGAGAAGGGGAGTTTTACAGCCATAGTTAACAAACTTTTGCATGAATCCTCGTCAGCCCTCAGAACTTCTTAATAACCTCATTAGTAAATTTATAACTAGAAATTTTGTCATTACAGTACGACCACAGACTACGGAACTGCAAAATTCATTTTTTCACAGAAACTCACCGATGTTGCTTCTTAGTAGGTGTCTCATTTTCTGTCATCTCTGGCATGGTTTCAGAGAAGAGAACCTGAAGAAAATTACAGAAAGAATTAACAACTGCACTCTTCTGGATTCTTTGCACATGACATCATTTCGCCTTTGACCACAAACACAAGGCTTTACTGTTACTGGACAAAACACCAGTCTGAAAGAAAACCCTTTAAGATGAATTTACCATTAAGAAGCAGGCATGCTTTATTGTGGCACTGGATTCACAAGGAATAACCTCACCTAGCAGGCACACTGGGCACAAGAAGTCTTCAACTTACATACACTTTAAAGTTGAATAAGCACTAATGATTCATTGCTACAAACTATTTGGTAGAAACAGATTGGATTAAGGCCACTTGGCATGCTTTGTTTGCCTATTCACTTGACTGGCAAATTTAGTGGCTATGTTTAGTTGTTATTCTTCTTTAATTCCCTATGTATGTGTTGCCTCTGTTCCTTGTGGCTTACCACCATTATTACTTCAGTAAATTTTGCAAAATATTGTGAAAGACTTGGCAAGACACATTACAAAGTATCCTGCAAGACACTGCAAGAGATATAGAAACGTGCACTGTAACATATTGGTACAGTCATTACATTACTACAAGGTGTGCAGAAGTCCATCACCTTTCTGTAGATAGACTGGTCATGTGGCCATTAAAAATGAAGTACACCTGCATCGATGCCTTGTGAACCTCTGCTGTCTGTGAAGAACTGGTTTCCATTTCCTCAGTTAAAAAAAAAAAAAACACAATTATAAACTCAACTATTTTAAGAAAGTAAAAAGGAAAAATAGAACATAAATTTGTTGGGTTTTATTTAATGGGAGGAGGTACAGCCAAACTCTTTTCCAGTCAGCAGGTTTCTTCCAAGGGATGCTGTTCCCTGCCAAATGCCACCATATTGAGTACCAGCCTCCCTAACTGTCACATGTAAACAATGAAGTTTGCATTTCATATGCTTCAGTTCTGCTGGGATTCACAGCCCTCTTCCTGCAGAAGAAACAGGGTGCAAATGTATGGTTAATATTATTTTATTTTCGCTTTACTGGGAGATTACTTCAAGCCAGAAGTTCATTGAAGTTCATACAATCCAAACAACATTTCAAAACAGTCCTGTAGGGGTGGTAAGAACAAACAGGACCATGTCCATTACCTAATTGAGCAGTTAGTTTATTTCAAACTCCAATTTTCTCCTAAAAAAGAAGCAGTTAAATGTATTAAATAGCTCTTACATACAACGCTTGAGTACCTACTTCAAAATTGTAACTTGAGAAAGATGGGGAACTGAAGATTTTTTTTCCTATTCTTATTCTGTAAGCACATAAGCATATAGAATGGGTTGAAAAGGACCACAATGATCATCAAGTTTCAACCCCCCTGCTGTGTGCAGGGTCGCCAACCAGCAGACCAGGCTGCCCAGAGCCACATCCAGCCTGGCCTTGAATGCCTCCAGGGATGGGGCAAAAACCTTTGCATTTTATTTGATAAACCTCAAAACAGAGCATGCAATGGTAGGGAGGTGGTATCTGAAAGAGCTCCTGAACACACAGGGTCCAAAAATTTTAAAAAGCTGCCCAGGGAGAAACTTTTGTGGACTGCTAAATAATGTTTATCCTCTTTTCTTCCTAGCAGCCATTGCCCCACCAGTGCTTCATTTCTTTACTATTTATTTTATATTAAGTGATACTTTCAGGAGAGATTCATTTTCTGATTTGCTGCAGCAGAAGACAAGTATTTGCTCTATAAGCTCAGGGGCAAATACATTTTAAGTTCACTCAAGCAATACGTTCACTCGACCCAGCTGAATAATTTCTGCAGCAATAATGCTGCAAATCCTTAATTCTTCAGACAGATCAAGGATGCAATTGGCCATTTAGGGTTATTTATTCTCAAGTTTTACATAGTTTATAGCTGTCACAATGTCAGCTTGAAATACTGATTTTAGTTTAAATGCAGTGTCATCCCCAGAAATTAAATTCTTTCTCTTCAGGAGATTTAAGTTCAGTGTAATTTAATCAGTGCTATGGTTGCACAGTTCTTATTAGTTTCATGCACTTTCAGTCATGATTTATGGATAAGATCAATTCCAAGGCATAGGTAACTTCTACACAAATGCTCTCTCTTCCTGCAAGCCACAGTTCTCTTTATTCTTATATACTTACTCTTGGAATGCTCTGTTCCAGTCTTCAATGTATGTTTTACAACAAGGCTAGCTTCAACCAGAGACTTAATTCAAGCTTTTAATCACAAGCAAGGCACCCTTGAGATAAAAATCATCACTGCCTTTGCTTTATCCCTCCCTTGAGACACTTCTATTGCCATTTTGCAGTTAGCTAACAAAACGACAGCAGGAAATGAAACTTGAAACTCTATCTTTGCAATTGTTACCAACATACCAACTACTTTTGCTTATAAAAGTAACCTGTTAAGACTACTGGATAGGAAAACAGAGGGAGAAATGGCCCTACTCAAGGCAGTGAAAATCCCCTTGGTATTTTTTAGTTTCATTCTGAGGAATCCAATGTTTTCTTCTTACTACACTGTGTCTACTCTTCCACACACTCGTGACAACTGGGCCCAATGATGAACCTAAGCAAAGTCCCTCAAAGACATGACATTCCCAGATGTTTATAAAAATTGAGCACGGGCAGAGAAGAATGAGTAAGGCCAGCACTGACAGTGACGGTGAGTGAACAGATGCTCCTCTGTGATCAGCATATTCCTGCTGGCTGACTAGTTCAGGTGAGCCAGATCACCACACGTGCTTGTTTACTCTTTATTTCTTTGTTTATTAAATCGAGGAAGGTGTACGAGGGATTGAAGGGCAGGCAAGAGTTATCTTGACTTTTCACAGAATACACATTCCCAATCCATACCAGCTGATTGCTTCCTACAGCAACGAGGCTGCTCTGTGAGCTTCTGCAAGCGTTAGTGACAGCAAACCAATGCCAATAAACTACAGCGTGCTATAAAAAATTAAGTGGGTTGTATAGTGTCTGACAGCAACAACAGATGGGGATAAAAGCTTCACTGCTTTTACAGTTTCTTACTTACTTCTTTTGTTTGTACTATCTAAATTCAAAGACTATTTTCCCTCCCACTGACTTAAAGCAATTAAGTTTCACTAAGGCTATTATATAAGATCACGTAAGAGAACTGGAAAGCAAGCTTTCTCCCCCTTTCTCTCCTTGCCCTCTCCCTCTCTCTCTCATTTTAATTTTTTTTTTTTTAAAACAATATTGCAGGAAGAAGCAGGCTTATCATGCAAGTGATGTGCCATCAAATTCATTTTTGTTTATAATTTTCATAATAAAGTCACAGTTGCTCATGACTGTTGACTAACACGTGGGTTCAAGAGACCATTCCTCAGAAGAATCCTGACCAGATTTGCTTACGAAAATTCTGAAGAAGTTCTTAGTTTATTTGTCATTACTCTTGCTCTGGCACTGCTGTCCCTTTAGTCTCCAAGTTTAGTATCTCATTCACTTAAACCTTAGAGGAGGCATAAAGACAGGAATATCACTCTACTGAACAAAGCCCCTTACCTGCTGCTGATGTTCTCAAAGCGGCAGAGGCATCTCCGGACCTCTGCACGTAGCTGTGAGCTGCTACCACCCCCCACCCACTGTGTGGATGATCACAGAACTATGGACAGACCAAAACGACATGCAGTGCTAGCAAAGAAAATGCCTACACAAACTGTATCCCATGATCTAGGGGAACTGTTATATGGAAACAGGCATTTGAGGATAAAGAACAAAAATGACACAATTGGTATACAAGCTAAAAATGACAAAGACCAGAGATGTCATCCTAAAGATGGTCTTCAGCCATTTTAGATCAAAATAAGGGGACTAGAGTTCTTATTTGGGAAATCAGAAAAAAAAAGAAAAAAAAATGATGACCATGGAAAGTCTCAAGACGCTGCACTCTGTGGACACTTTGTTAAGATGCACAAGTCACCATGTACCAATTTCATAAAGGAAGCAAGAAAGGAGAAGGCATTTCTCTAAGTTGCAAGACAGTGCTCATTTCCATGGTTTTCAGTGATCTACTGTGCGTTCCAAAACAGAAGATTAGTTTCAAATTGAAGACACATCTAATTATGTCACATTCAACAAAGCTATCCAAGACTCTGCTTTGGTGGGCAAGGCTAAGTGGGTGCCAAGTAGCTTGTGGACAACTTCCTTCTGTGACAGGACTTCTACCTGCAGTAGCTAACACAAGTGCTGCGTACAGGTTGTGAGCACATTTCTACTGCCAGGTAACAGCATCTAGTGGTGAGCCAACTCTTTCTGGCAGCACGCTGCCTAAACAACAAGTGATTTCTTCCTGAAGAAGCTGTAACTTAAGTCTTCATGGTCTCTGACTCCTGGAACCCAGATGATTATTTATAATTGAGGATGCCTTACGCAGGAAAGCTCTGTCTGAAACACCAAAGACTGGTGGAATAAATTAGAAGTTACAGAGTCAGCAACAGCTAACCTAATTCTGCTTTATAATACGCCCTTACCTCCAAATGAAATCTCTTGATTTGTCACAGGGTTGCATAATCAATGTAAAATCAAAACAAAAACATTCTGGCTTACAGCATCCAGAATGCTATCGCTCACTTCATTTTTAGGTTTTAATCTAAGCTCTTATCTGTCGTGTACCCATAAACGATCCTCATGTAGTCTGTTTATAAAACTGTGTGAGATCTTAAGGAAGTATCAAGTTAGCCATAAGAATGTTCTCTTACAGCTGTACTGGACACGCAAGCGCTCTAACAAACAAGTTATGCAAAATACCCAAGAACAGAAATGTGCAGGAGAGTTTAAACTTTTTTAATGCATCTTAACAGATGAGCATTAACTACAATGGATTACACAACGAAGTTCTTAAATCTTTTACAGGTTGAGGTTTGAGAAATATGACACAAAGAATTGAACATGTGATCTCAAGACCTAAACAGTTGCGCTTCCTGTCTCAACTACAAAGCTCCCTTACAACACGCAGAAGAAATCCATTGTCAGATTTGGTTACAGGGATCTTTCCGTGTGAGAAGATTCTTCCCAATGAATCTTCAGGGCAAAAATAGGCAAGGCACTATGAAACAGTACTTCTGCTGCTGTCTGGACGTGCTTCCAAAGCACCTGTTGAGGCAGCGTACTGCTGCGTCCTTCAGGAAAGGTCAGCACAGTGTTCCTGAGATGGTGCTTTCACTACTATCAGCCGCAATAAGCTTTAAAAACAAATGCCACTACCCTATGCCTGACAAAAATGAACAAAACCCCCACAGTTCTGCAGCAGAATTTTCATTGCAGGCTGCTAACAAAAGGCTTTAGTGGATGGAAGAAGGCTATTTCTCTCCTTTACTCTTCACAGGTTTTTTCTAGATAAAGTGGGCCTAATTTCTAGTTTCAGAAATAAGGGGTTCACCTTGTGATCTGGATGTCTGACAGTTTTGTATCTTGCTGGCAGGGATAAAGCTGCAAACTATTTCAGTTTGATTTAACAGAAGTACAGTTAAAGATATTTGGGAACAGGTGTGCAGCACAGACACTTTCTTAACAAGCACATCTTACAGAAGAAATTTAAAATCAGAATTAGTATATGCTATATATCAGAATCACAGAATCATAGAATGGGTTGAAAAGGACCACAATGATTATCTGGTTTCAATCCCCCTGCTATGTGCAGGATCACCAACCACCAGACCAGGCTGCCCAGAGCCACATCCAGCT